ACACCCTCTTCCTGGCAGTAAGAAGCATCTTTTGGTAGTGTGTACGCGTTGGTGTCTGACAAACCATGGCTTTGAAGAGGTAGGCTTTCGTTTGATGATTCTGTTGCTGATAGCAAGGCTTTTCCACGCGTTGTTCTGTTGGAATAACAACTGGTTTCCTTCGCTTCAAGCTTAAAGCTTTTGGTATGGACAGCATCTTAGCGTATTGAAGAAGGTAACCTTTCAAATGGAAAATAAGAATTAGCCAAACATAGCGTGTATGAAATAAATGACAAACAAATTTTTAAAACCTACCAAATTACTTTACAAATCGTGACAGCTATTTGGGAGATGTGATTAAATATACTTTAATATTAAAAACAATATTAAGTATTATTATTGTTTAGGTAATAAGCATTATAACATAACACAAATAGCTATATTGTTGAAAAAGGTATTTTCGACAATATACGCATTTTTTACGAATTTATGGTTATTTTTTTACTTTTATCAAAAACATTTTTGTACATGTAATTATGGATAATATTATACATTAATTACTATTTTTTTAATTAATAACTATTTGTGTTCAATTGTTGACGTTAATAGCTATCTGATGATGTGTTAAAATTATGAATATTGCAATAATAAAAATTTAAATTTCATCTCCTTCATAGATGTCACAATCTGTTAATAAAACAATATTGTATTGTCTTCAAAGCGAACGTTAATATGCACTTGATAGTGTATTCCTTTTCTTTTACATTGCGTCTTTGTACCATTTGTTGATACAATGCAGACATAAATCCTTCCAAAAAACAGAAAAAAGTTCCTAATCTAAAAAGAACTTACAGATCATGACATCAATTAGAGAGATGTGATTAAATATACTTTCTTTAATGTTTAAAAACATTTATTCAAGATTATTATTGTTTCGGTAACATACATTAACATAGCACAAATAGCTATATTGTGCAAAAAGAAATTTTCGACAATATACGATTTTTTACGTATTTATGGATATTTTTTTAACTTTTATCAAAAACAACAAAAAACGTTTATCTAGTTATGGATAATATTATACATTAATTAGTAAATTTTTTTTATTAATAACTATTTATGCACAATTGTTGACATTAATCTCTGTTGATGTGTTAAAATTTTGGAATAATGCAATAATAAAAATTTAAATTTCACCTCTCTGATAGATGAAGCGATCTGTAAATAGTATTAATTTCGTCTATCTTTTATCAATTTTTTTTTAATAGATTGTGACACCTATTAGGGAGATGTGATTAAATATACTTTAATGCTTAAAAAAATATTATCGTTTAGGTAATAAGCATTATAACATAGTAAAAATAGCTATCTTGTGGAAAAAGGAATTTTCAACAGTTTTTACGTATTTTTTTAACTTTTATCAAAAACGACATTCTTGTACATGTAGTTATGGATAATATTATACATTAATTAGTATTTTTTTAATTAATTACTATTTGTGCTCAGTTGTTGGCATTAATAGCTATCTGCTGATGTGTTAAAATTTTGCAATAACTAAAATTTGAATTTCATCTCTCTGATAGATGTCGCAATCTGTTAATAAAACAATATTGTATTGTCTTCAAAGCGAACGTTAATATGCACGTGATAGTGTTTTCCTTTTCTTTTGCGATGCATTTTTGTGCCATTTTTTGGTATAAATCCTTCCCAAAAAAAAGTTCCTAATCTAAAAAATAAATTTACAGATCGCAACAGCTATTAGGAAGATGTGATTAAATATACTTTAATGTTTAAAAAATTATTCAAGATTAGTATTGTTTTAGCTTTATAATATAGCATAAATAGCTATATATGCATTTTTTACGTATTTAAGGTTATTTTTTAACTTCTATCAAAAACGACATTCTTGTATACGTAGTTATGGATAATATTATACATTAATTACTATTTTTTTTAATTAATAACTATTTATGCACAATTGTTGACATTAATGTCTGTTGATGTGTTAAAATTTTGGAATAATGCAATAATAAATATTTAAATTTCATCTCAGATAGATGTTACGATCTGCTAACGAATACGCAGTAGCAGACTGAACAGGTTGTCAGCTTGCTGGAAGGCAAATGGACCCTGGTGGTGTGGGTCACTGATGGAGTGGGCCCCTGATGGAGTGTGCTCCCTATGTCAAATAAAAATGCTATAAAGACAACTGCTTTAGTAATAAAAAGCAAATAAGAACTTTATAAAGTCATCTGCGCACTAACAGTTACTAAAGAGCAATGTGAGAGGATATTTTCAAAGATAAAGATTATCAAGAAAAGAAATTCGTTGTCTGAGAAGTTGGAACCATGAATGTTGTTATCTATTGAAAGGGAATTGTTAGATGAATTTGATGTCGACGCAATTATTAGCAGATTCGAGCAGTCATCTATTGAAGACAAAAATTGCTCTTAACAGACTGCATGCTGTGCTCTGCTGTCATCTCACCATAATAGTTAATCAGTAATTTTTGTAGTAAACTAAAAATACCAACCAATTACATAAAACTAAAAAGAATAAATAAAAAATTCAGTCATAATATTTTGTATTCACATTGGATATCTATTGCCAGTAATATGTACATTACATATACACTGTAATTACTAAGAAATAATATTTTCCACTTGTGTCATAGTGGCATTATCGCCTTGCTTGGTACGAAATGATTAAAAAAATCTACCTTTTTTCTATATGTATTTTTCTAAAGCTTATTTATTCCTTATGAAAATTAACTGATAGTATTGTAGTTGTGGATGGGCCCACTTTCTCATCCTGAAACCAATATTTTAAATCCAGTCCGCCACTGTAAATACCTTCTGGCGTCAGTTTAAGGTGGTGACTTATATATATATATATATATATATATATAAGACATTTTTATACATTCGTTTTATAGATACAAATATTTAAGTAAATGCTCTGTTAATAAAGAGTATTAAACAAGATTTACCGGCCTGAATGTCCGAGAAATTTTCACAGAAAATATTCGTCCTCCAACAGGATTTGAGCCGGTATCCTATACGGAACCGTCATTTAGCTTGACGTGCCATAACCGATTTGGCCACAGAGGAGCGTTCAGTTAGCAAGGTCGAATTTACTGTCTTTAAACTTCAATTTTCCATGAATCTCTAACGTACATTCATATCTGCTCAAAGTGCATCCAAATGTAAACAAATGACGTCACACATTATGAAATGGACAATGTCCGACAATTATTTTAAGACATTTTTATGTTTATACATTCTTTTTATAATGTGTGACGTCAATTAAATATATATATATATATATATATATATATATATATATATATATATATATATATATCGTCCTGGGTAAGACGTTAAATTACATCTGCGTCCTGGCTAAGACGATAAACTACGTCCAACAGCAAGGCCTCTGAGCAGGAGGTTTTGAGAAGCGTGGAACTAACTCTTAATTGCTGGTGTTCTAAGGTCCTCCCTGACCCGGGGTGGTAGCACCTGTTAGGGTCCCAGCTATAGGCAAATAGTTAACTATTGCCAGCAATACAATTTGGAAGAAAAAATATTAGCAGAACAGATTTTTGACAAAACAAAATGTGCCCAGCAATAAAAAAAATTTTGTCGGCATTAAGTAACCCATTGAGGTAAAACAAAATAAAACAAACCAAAGGATACATATTCTGTTCATACGAATCTATCTAAAAATGTAGTCGGCATTAAATAACCCATTGAGGTTGATATGCCGTAAAACAAAATAAACCAAAAACCAATATATATATATATATATATATATATATATATATATATATATATATATAGTTAAATTCCCAGATGAATCTGTCTTGTCCACAGAATTCATCTGTGAATTTAACTATATTGTCGACATGGAAAAAATAATAATAATAATAATAATAATCCCTTACTATAAAAGTAATTTACATTAACCAGAAAAAAGGCTTAGACAGAAGCGTCTATCTTTTTAAATTTGGATTTTTAATGTAACTATAACAACAAAAACATTTCGATTACATTTTGCCTTGAAAAAGTCGGAAGACGAAACGCGTTGGCAAAATGTAAGATTTTTTTCCAATTGTCATTTGATACTATATATATATATATATATATATATATATATATATATGGTTGGATTGATGTGAGTTTGTGACCCTAGGTTTCACGCTTTTGCGATCGTCAGACAAACTGATACATTTTTTTTTAATTTTTGGTTTATGTATATCGCGTGTATTGGTGTTATTATGGGAGGGGGGATCGTCGTCGTGATGTCATCATCGTGCTAACGCAAACATAGATGCATGTCCGTACATCAGATGAGGTACCAAACAGACATACATACACGCTAACTTTCTATCTCTGATATTGAGCACTTTCTAATAAGTACCATGCGCATATAATATATAAATAATCATATTTATATATATTTATTTATATTTACACACACACACACACACACACACACACACACACACACACATATATATATATATATATATATATATATATATATATATATATATATAAAAAATATAGTCTTAAAGTGTGCTATATTTATGGAATAAAGTATCAATATCAGAGATAGAACGTGTGTAAATATAAAAGTGAACATAGAAGTCAACACTATCATGCTATATGCAATCGTCAGGCCACATATGCTGTTATTTTTCTCGGCTATTTATATATATGCGGGTTAGTGGTGCATATATATATATATATATATATATATATATATATATATATATATATATATATATCTTAATTAGAAACTATAATTTTGAAAAGTCAAAATTTAACTGAAATATATTGAAAATTTGCGATATTTTCATTTTAAATTAAAAAAAAACTAACTTTTCACAAAATGGTTACAATATATGGAATAAAGGCGTCACTTTAAGCTGACGCCATAAAAATATCGGTTAATTATGAGAGTATCGCTGTTACTATTTTGCGGCTGAGGTAATTCTATCGAATAACAGAGGAAAGAAAATGGTGTTGGATCGGGCATCGCCGGATATCCTTGCCAGCTCAGGAATGTTTAATCTTTCCCAATCTATAACGCTGAAATGTTTTCCAAACAAATTGATTAATCTCTCTTTGCTCTGTCATAAAAATCATAATTCAATCTATGACACCTGTCCTTATTGGATGCATTTGAACGTTTTAATAAAATCAATAAAGAGAAGTATTGATAAATTACATTCAGGTGTGATGCTAAGCAATCCTAAGCTGTCGGTAATGTTAACACAATTATTGAAAGAATTCAGATAATTGCCTTTTGGTGTATACGTTTTCCGGGGCATGACGATCAACTACACCCGGAAGCAAAGCCTCTAGTCTGGAGATTCTAGGTTCTGAACAGCATGGAACCACTTCTTAATTGCTGTTGTTCCCAAGTCCACCATTACCCGGGTGGTATCACAAGTTTGAGCCCCAGGTAGAGGCAAATAGTGTACCCCCCTCCAAAAATCAACAGGACATTTTTTATAGCAAAATGACAACCAATGCAACACTAAAAGCGACCAGGGTATGACGATAAACTACCTCCGCGTCTTGGGTAAGACGATAAACTACATCCACGCCCTGTGTATGACGATAAACTACACTGCGTCCTGGGTATGACGATAAACTACATTCGCGTCCAGGGTATGACGATAAACTACCTCCGCGTCTTGGGTAAGACGATAAACTACATCCGCGTCCTGGGTAAGACGATAAACTACGTCCGCGTCCTGGGTAAGACGATAAACTACATCTGCGTCCTGGGTAAGACGATAAACTACATGCTACTACAAGCCCTCTGATCAGGAGGTTTTGAGGAGCGTTGGAACCACCTCTTGATTGTTGGTTTTCTCAGGTCCACCCTGACCCAGGGTGATAGCACTACTTAGGGTCTCAGCTATGGGTAAATAGTTAACCCCAAAAGGTGTCAAAACCCTATGAAGATATAAAAATAGGTTTTAATACCAGCAATACATTTTAGAAAAAATACCAGCAATACATTTTTGAAAAAAAAATACCAGAAATAAAAATCTTGTCGGCATTAAATAACTCATTGAGGTTGTGTTATGGGACCTTACCCATAATAACATAATGGACTATTCCATACGTAATAATTACTGCGTCTCAAGAGGAAGCAGCGAGTTCAGCCTAAAGTCGGACATCCGGCTGATCATTTGAACTCTCTGCCTTCGGGCGGGGAGGAACCCGAAGGAGGCTACGCCGAAGGGCGGAGTCTCTTTCGAAGAGGTAAACCGACCCTGAACCCGTTTATACGGGTTCAAAGGGCATATTTTTGGCCGAGCCCACGGGCTCGGAGTTCCCACGTTAAAAAGGCCTTGTGCCACATGACGCCCTCGTGGGAGGGTGACTGAATATCGTTCAGTTTGAAGTCTGGAGTGAGACCCGTCAGGAGTCCGCCAGGAGTCTGTCAGTCAGTCAGAGCGAGTCAGTCAGTCGAGTCAGAGGCAGTCCGAAACAGAGTTGCGTTCAGACAATTACTACAAGACATTGGAATAGTGATAATGGTCGAGACTATATTGTTCTCCTTACTAAACCTGATTGTTCGTACTAACACTTTCTACTTCTCTGTATATATTCCTGTTTGTAATATATCTGTATTATTCCATATCCGTGTTCGAGTTCTTCTTTATTGGTTCTACCTTGGACTATCACCGTGGTACAAGGAATCGGACCATAACAGGTTGATATGCCATAAAACAAAATAAACCAAACTAAGCCAAACTGATTTCTTACAAAGAATACATATTCTATTCATACGAACCTATCCTAAAAATCTTGTCGGCATTAAATAACCTATTGAGGTTGGTATGCCGTAAACCAAAACAAACCAAACCAAACAAAACTAAAAAAAATACAAAAATATGTTTTTTTTTATTGTAAAATTACCAATAATACATTTTATGAGCTACAAAACTATATATATTATGAATTGGATTAAGTCCGACAATTATTTAATAAATTTTCTGTTTATACGTTATTTTAATATTCTATTTTGTCTGGCTTAATCCATTTCATAATATGTCGTCAATGTTTACGTTAAGGTACCTCTCGTGAGCAGATATGATCGTACGAGAAAGATCGTCGATAATTTGTTGTTTATAAACAGTCACCAGACGCTTCTCTGTAGCTGAATAGTATAGCACGTCAGATCAATTAACCGTACTGTATGGGACACATGTTCGATTCCTGTCGGAGAAGCGCATATTTTCTACGAAATTTCTTGAAGATTCAAGTCGGTAAATGTAAGTAATACTGTTAATATAAAAAAAAAAAGAAAAAAAAAAAGAGCATTTACGGATAAACTATAAACTTCAAATATTCAAATGTAATGTCAATCGACATTTTCTGATGCCTTGATCTTGTTCCCCCCGTCCTTCTCTGTATACTTTCCTCAAACACCTCTTTTTACTCTTGCTCTCTCACTTGCTGTAACCCCTTGCATGCTAGTGGCACTTTCGCTTTGCTTGGAGTGAAATGCTTTATAAAAAATCTGTTGATATCTGTCTGTCTGTCATCCTGACCATGTCTTTCTAGCCGTATTTAATGAGTGATCGTGTGGCTTTGCTTGCCACCGGTCATAGATGTTTGTGTTCAAGCCCAGGTAAGGAATCCAAATACTGATTACTGGGTGGAATCAGACACGTAGAAATTCCTTATTTAGAATTGTAATGTAATACAATTTCCCATGTCATATTTTTATAAATTCGGCCTCATATCGTACTATAAAAAAAAGCAAGTGTTGTAAAAAGACATAATTTTGAGCGTTGAATTCATAGACTATTTCATACAGGCTCTCTCCCATTGGAAGATTGGTGCAGCACGATTTTCCACATCCCATTATACCAAATTTAGCCTTTCGCTGTATGAAGCTGTTGTGGAGTAAATAACACACCTACGGTAACACAAATGAACTAGGCAAGACGCCTTAAATAAAGAACTCCATGTGAGCCAGTGTAATCAGTTGGTGTCATTCAGGAGAATTTCAAACAGATGTCACGGCGAGTAGACTAAGCAAGACATTCTATTATAACCGCTAGGAGCGAGTTATAACAGAGGCGACGACAGATCGAAACTCATACGGAGTAGAAAAAAGTCCTTTTTTTTTTTACATCGGCCCACATGATAATAGTGACGATGAGAAATTAGAAATACGTTGATGTAATTTTTTTAATTTGGTGTGTGTAAAAATGGGGGAAAAGAAATAGGTATAAAAGAGATATTCTTTAAATATGGAAGAATTATTAGCCCAAGTGATAAAAATACAGCAACAACAACAGTTCTTGGAACTGCAGAAACAACAATAAAATTTAATTGAAATAATACAGAAGAAAATGGAAAATTTCCCAAATTCTTTCACTCCCGAAATGGTGGCAAATGCCATAGCTGAATTCACATACAATTCAGATGATGGAATTACCTTTTCTGCTTATTTTAGAAGAAACGAGCAATTTTCAGAGAAGAATGGAATGACTGGGAAGACGAGAAAATAATTTTGTTGAAAAAGTTAGCACCTGTAGAATATGAAAAATACTGTAATTCTGTACGACCGAAAAAAACAAAAAAAAACAGGAGAAATTTGCTTTGAAAAAACAGTAAATATTCTAACTAAAATTTGTAGCGAAAAAAGATCGTTCAATACTGGTTGGAAGTGCATGAATCTGATGAAGAAAAAAGACGAATATTTTGTCCCATACTACCGACAGAAAAAAAAACTACAGCAAAATCGAAAAAGAGGCGTTAGTAATAATATTCTCAGTGAAAAAAATTCACAAATTTATACAGGTAAGGAATATTAGGTTGTAGACAGACCATCGACCTCTATTATCAATTTATGGTTCGAAAAAAGAAATTCCTAAGCATACAGCGAATATATTACAATACTGAGGTGCGATCTTATTAAAATGCACTTTCAGGATGGTATACCGACCGTCCAAAAATTAGTACATGCCCATGATTAATAACAAAAAATACTGAACCGTTTGAGAACACTGTTATTGCAGCATTAAAAAATGAAATGGAAATTAAAAATACGTTATGCAATGTAGAACATAAAAGCTCAGAACGCCCCAGATAAAAACTGGCCTTGTGCCACATCCTTCCTTGTGTGGAGGTTTGGTAAATACCAGTCGGATTGAAGTTAGTCAGTTCGCCACCAGAGTCGTGACAGACTTGTGGAATTCTCTGTCCAAAGGCAGAGAGGAACCTAGACGAAGCTATGCTTACGGGCAGTCTTGCCTGGGGAGAAGGACAAAACCGACCCACATAAAAATCGACTTTGTGTCATATCCTGCCTTGCGGGGAGGTTAGTAAATACCAGTAGTATTGGAGTCAGTCTTTATACTAACTATGCAGCCGTTACGGCAATAGCCTAATCATTACGCATAAAGAATACGGGTTATGCTAAGTATGAGTGTGTTTTATAACAATAAACTTAGAATAAGAAGTTATACTACGAATGCATTTAGTTAGGGTCTTGTTCTCCTTCTTGCAGGGAGGCAAGGATCCCAAAGTATGTCCGGAGATCTGTTACCTCCACGCTTCTAAAGGCGGTCTGGGTATGCCTAGCGTTGAGATTCGTCAATAGAGGCTTCGCATCGCGTTCCTAGACCGAATTTATTCGCAAGCGGATGGCAATGGCGAATTCTGGAAGAAATTCCCGTTCCTGAGAAGTGTGCACATGTGCGAGGAAGAGGCCCACCGTTTACTCAGAGGTTAAGTGCTGCTTCTATCGTGAATGCTGGTTAGCTCCCGCGCTTCTCTTACGGGCGACAGATGGCCTCTCCGACGTCCAGGCTTTGTCCCGTAAGGCATTATATCAAGTGTTAGTGAGGCGTCCAGTTCAAGATAGTCTGCTTGGCGAGATCGGTTTAACGAAGCAGGAAGCTAGCTCCATATGGCCTTGGGCACCTGGGTTGAAATGCCTCACTAACAATGAAGTATCACTCACCTGTCTGGTGATGCGAAAGGCTCCTTGAGACGGCTAAAACTTTCTTCAGAGGGCTTGGGAAATTTTCCCAACCGCGTCCACTGTGGTGAGTCGGTGGAGACCCTGGGTCACCTATTCTTCCGCTGCAAGATCGTAGTCTCGTTGTGCCAGTTTATTGAAGACATAATGGTTCGCATGCTGCGCGGAAAGTTTTTTGTCCTTGAGTCCAGTTCTGTTTGTAAAAATATGGTAACGTCTTTGACTAAGGTTGAGCACTATGTGTTCTTGTGCTTACTAATTGTAATGCGAGTCGTGATATGGACGACGCAACAGAAGGAATTCTATACAGACGAGAAGTTTATCTCTTCCCAACTGATCTTATTTTTAAGCATCAGCTTAAACTCAAGATCAGGATGGGAAGGCGAGGGCCCCCTCCATCAGAATTTGGCAAAAGGCGGGTGAGTCCTGCGCGTATCTGTCGACTGAAAGGAACTGACTTAGAATGACATTTTGAAGCCGGTTAGGCATCAGGATATTCTCTCTCTTCTTCCCTCTCTGTTTCCTTTGCTCTCACTTTTTATATTTATTTTTCTTTCTATCTCTCTCTTTTTTGACCTGTCTTTTCTTCCCTCACCATTGTTGTTTTCTTCCTCTCAACCTTTCCCTCTATCTTTCTTTCGCTTCTCTCTATTTCCCTACTCTCTCTCTCTCTCTCCCTCTTTCTTACATTTTTTCTTTCTTAATTTCAGCTGTTTTTTACTTTCACCTTTTCTTCGATTCTTCGTCTCTCTCTCTTTCGCTCTCTCTCTCTCTTTCGCTCTCTCTCTCTCTTTCTATTCCTTTACCTTCCTCTCTCCCTGTCCCTATCCTCTTCCCTCCCTCTTCTACTACCTCTCTCTACTTTCTTCCCACTCTCTCTTCCCCCTCTTTTCGTTTCTGCCTATTTCTCTCTTTTCTTAAAATATCTCTCTTTTACGCCCTTTCTCTCTCTCTCTTCCTCTCTCTGTCCATCTCTTCTCTCTCTTTCAGCACACATGCACATGGATACAGACAGAGTCGCGCATACACACACACACACACACATTAATATATATATATATATATATATATATATATATAAAGAAATGGTTTACATCCGACTATTATTTAATATATTTTTTATTGTTATACATAAAATGACTTATAATCGAAATATATATATATATATATATATATATATATACAGTGTAACCCGGATATAAGGCAGTTGTCGGGACCGGAGAAGAAGTCTCTTATATCCGGGTTTCTCTTATATCTGGGTTTGGTCTATTTTATATACATTAACACAGGCTCTAATTTGGGACCAGAGAAAATCTCTCTTATATCCGGGTTTCTCTTATATCCGGGTCTCTTATATCCAAGTTACACTGTATATATATATATATATATATATATATATATATAGTTTTAAAATGTGCTGTATTTATGGGATAAAGTGCTCAATATCAGAGATAGAGCGTATGTAAATATAAAAGTGTACATTGAAATCAACACTCAGTGGCAACAGAATGTTTCATGCTAGACGCAATCGTCAGGCATAATTGTTGACTTCAATGTTCGCTTTTATATATATGTGTGTGTGTGTCTGTGCGTGCGCGCGCGTGTGTGTGCGTGTGTATGGGTATGGTAAAAACATACGTATACGCACATATACTTGCACGTAGATATATATTTCTTTCTCGGGTGTTATAAAAAGGTGCTCAATGTTATATAACAGAGCTATTAAGTATATATTAGTAAATATTGAAAAGTAAATCTCCATTTTAAAATACTTATAATTTATTTATTAACTATAATTTTTACAAGAAATGGATATGAGAGAAAAGCGTTTTGCATGAGGTTGTATTTAAAATTCAATATGGCCACCAGATTTCGCTATCAGCTTCTCAAGACTCCCAGGAATCGCGTCAGCTGATTTCTCCAGGAACTCTTGCGGTATTCGCCCTTCAAGTTCTTCCAAAGTCTTGGTTTGATATAGTAGACTTTCTCATTTAACCCACCGCAAAGAAAAAAGTCACCCTATATATATATATATATATATATATATATATATATATATATATATATATATATATTATTATTATTATTATTATTATTATTATTATTATTATTATTATTTAAAATTATAACAGAAATATGTTATAAAATCACTACAAAAATAGCCATTTTTGTTTCAAGTGATGATGTTGAATGTAAAATAAATGCTTTTAAAAGTTTCAAATTAATTAACGATCCTTCGCAAGGGGAAAACGTTGTTACAAAAGCTAGAATAACCAATCAAAACACAAGTATAGGAAAATTCAAAAAACTTGACAACAAAGTAAGGTTATAATAGTTATTCAGAGCTTTAAAATTGGGGTTATATTAAAAAAAAAGAATTTATTCTAACCAATAAGTATTAAATTATATGATAAAATTTGATATTAAAATTAAAAGTAAAAAATTACCAATTTTAAAATCTAAATCTCTATTAAGTTTAAAATTATAAAACTTAAAACTATAAAATATTTATATATATAAAAATATTATATATATAAAAAATATAAATGAACATTGAAGTCAACACTCAGAGGCAACCGACTGTTTCAGGCTAAATGCAATCAATAGGCCACATGTGTTGAGATTTTTCTCGAATAGTCGATAAAAAACTCGACACATCTGACCTGATGATTGCGTCTAGCATGAAACAGCCTGTTGCCTCTGAGTGTTGACTTCAATGTTCACTTTTATATTTACATACGCTCTATCTCTTTTATTGAGCACTTTATCCCATAAATATAGCATACTTTAAAACTATATATATATATATATATATATATATATATATATATATATAAGGACAATATTGTTATTAATGATGGCTCTCAGACAATTGTGTGGCTCAGAGAAATTACCTGGAAAACGTGAAAGAATTCTTTGAATGCCAAGGTTAGTGAAGCTGTTTTCATTAGATTAGCTAGTCTGTTGCAAGATCCAGGGGTGTCGGGGATAATCTGGTGTTAAAAGAATAAAGGAAAAAAAGAATGTTGCCTTGTATTTTCCTACTGACAGATTTGTGAGTCAAGAAACCTACCCGCCCCCACCCCACACACACATACCATGAAAAGAGTGAACAAAAGAAAATAAAACACCCATTATCCCTTTCCTCCTCCCCTCCCCACCAAAAAAAAATCTAGCCATGTTTACTAATCAGAAGTTGGAGGACAAAAAACCAGCGTCTACAACGGTGTAAAATGCAGATTGCTTTAACTAGATGGCAAGGTGTCCACCGGCTGCCATTTTTCTTTTCTCAAACGGAAGCCAAGAATAACATGGAATGGCAGTTGATTGACCTTACCTCTGTTTGGAGATGTTATTATTTGGTTTTCTTTCTATTATTGCTGAGATGAAGGCAGATGAATGCGATGATTCGCTAATGCCTTTGTAAGCAGTAACATCGTTTTGGCTGGCAGTATATACAAACATGCCATATGAAATTCAATTGATTGACAATAAATGTTTGCCCAATATTCACAGCAAGAAAAGCAATGAAATTATGTTTATTTTGATTCTAAATCGAGGCGGAAGTAAGAGGTTTAATATTTGCATTACCTACATTAGAAGGAACCGGAAACCCAATCCGAGTAAAGTCTACTTCAAACGAAACTTCTAAAGACTTCGCCTAGAACTGTGAATGTTTATTTACAATTTATTTACATTTTCTTCCTCAATAGGAGTAGATAGTTTACATTATTTACATTATTCGGACTGTTATCCTCATCATTGACATATTCACAGCGTTTCGACCATTGTACACTCCGGCCTTCTTCAGGTGATTGGAAATTCGGAGCAAACCCTGTATTTCGATTGCCGGGGTAGATTGTTCTAGTTTCCACATGATATGCCTATTGCAGATGCCTCGGTTATTTCCCTTTAACGCAACTTTCAGCCGTTGTACACTCCGACCTTCTTCAGGTGATTGGAAATTCGGAGCAAACCCTGTATTTCGATTACCTGGGTAGATTGTTCTAGTTTCCACATGATATGCCTATTGCAGATGCCTCAGTTATTTCCCTTTAACGCAACTTTCGGCCGTTGTATACTCCGGGCTTCTTCAGGTGATTGGAAATTCGGGGCAAACCCTGTATTTCGATTACCGGGGTAATCATAATACCTCATCTCAGAGATATAGAGGCCGAAACGTTGTGAATATGGCAATGAAGATGAGGATAACAGTCCGAATAATGTAAATAATGCAAGTAATCATAATACCTCATCTCAGAGATATAGAGGCCGAAACGTTGTGAATACGCCAATGAAGATGAGGATAACAGACTGAATAATGTAAATAATGCAAGTAATCATAATACCTCATCTCAGATATATACACAGATATATAGAGAGATATGGACATAAAGGCCTGGGTGTACAATAGCCGAAATGTTGTGAATATGGCAATGAAGATGAGGATAACAGTCCGAGTAATGAAAATAATGCAATGAATCATAATGCCTCATCTCAAAGGTATAGACAGGTTTATTTATTTAAAAACAATAGAATATCGAGGAGAGGAGAAAGACTGAAGCGAAAGTAAAAAAAAAAAACGGAAATGCTGGGATCTGCAGATCTAGCCCAAGCTCTTATCCCCCACCATGCGATCAAAGCCTGAGACTGTTTCAGAGTTTGGCCTCCTGAGGTATGTTAGCTTCAAGCATTGCGGAGGCAAAATTGAAGCCCCCCTCGGACACAAGTGGTGCCGACGACGACGACGACGACGATGCATCACAGAAATCGGCGTAAAACGTCGCCTGTGGAAGTCTTATGCGGCTTCCCAGCCAACTTTGATATTCAAAAATTTAAACGCAATGTCAATCGTTATCTACTGTCTTCTTGATTCCTCTTCCTTTATTGTTCTTACTTCTCGCCTGTGGAACTCTCTTCCGGCTTCATGCTTTCCAGCCAACTTTGATCTTCAAAAATTTAATTGCAATGTCAATCGTTATCTACTGTCTTCTTGATTCCTCTTCCTTTATTGTTCTCACTTCTCGCCTGTGGAACTCTCTTCCGGCTTCATGCTTTCCAGCCAACTTTGATCTTCAAAAATTTAAATGCAATGTCAATCGTTATCTACTGTCTTCTTGATTCCTCTTCCTTTATTCTTCTCACTTCTCGCCTGTGGAACTCTCTTCCGGCTTCATACTTCCCAGCCAACTTTGATATTCAAAAATTTAAACGCAATGTCAATCGTTATCTACTGTCTTCTTGATTCCTCTTCCTTTATTGTTCTTACTTCTCGCCTGTGGAACTCTCTTCCGGCTTCATACTTCCCAGCCAACTTTGATATTCAAAAATTTAAACGCAATGTCAATCGTTATCTACTGTCTTCTTGATTCCTCTTCCTTTTTTTGTTCTCACTTCTCGCCTGTGGAACTCTCTTCCGGCTTCATGCTTTCCAGCCAACTTTGATCTTCAAAAATTTAAATGCAATGTCAATCGTTATCTACTGTCTTCTTGATTCCTCTTCCTTTATTGTTCTCACTTCTCGCCTGTGGAACTATCTTCCGGCTTCATACTTCCCAGCCAACTTTGATATTCAAAAATTTAAACGCAATGTCAATCGTTATCTACTGTCTTCTTGATTCCTCTTCCTTTATTGTTCTCACTTCTCGCCTGTGGAACTCACTTCCGGCTTCATGCTTTCCAGCCAACTTTGATCTTCAAAAATTTAAATGCAATGTCAATCGTTATCTACTGTCTTCTTGATTCCTCTTCCTTTATTGTTCTCACTTCTCGCCTGTGGAACTCTCTTCCGGCTTCATGCTTTCCAGCCAACTTTGATCTTCAATAATTTCAATGTATCTAATACAAAACTGATCAAGTTTATTCTAGAAATATTTTGAAGTCAGTTTGTAATCAAAACCTCCAGATATTAAGTATTTCTGTACATTTATCATACGATATTAAAAACCAAATGAGCAAAAATTAGT